TTCCCATCTCTTATTTTTTTATTATGAGATAAGGTCTCTAAGTTGCCTCAAATCTGCAATTCTTTTGCCTTAGCCACCCAAGTAGCTAGGATTACAGGTATGCACCACCACAGCAAATTATTTTAAAATATTTTCAATCTCTAGTTAGTTGAATGCTTTGATGCAGAAGCAGCAGATATGGAGGACCCACAGCACTTTTAAAAAAAAAAACACTTGTGCATGCCTGTAATCCCAGCAGCTCAGGAGGCTGTGATAAGAGGATCACAAGTTCAAAGCCAGTATCAGTAACAGCAAGGTGCTAAGCAATTCAGTGAGACCCTGTCTTTATATAAAATATAAAACAGTCCAGGCGCAATGGCCCACACCTATAATCCCAGCGGCTCAGGAGGCTGAGGCAGGAGAATTGTGAGTTCAAAGCCAGCCTCAGCAATGACAAGGCACTAAGCAACTCAGTGAGACCCTATCTCTAAATAAAATTCAAAACAGGGCTGAGGAATGTGACTCAGAGGTCGAGTACCTTGAGCTCAACCCCCAGAACACCCTCAAAAAAAAAAAAAAAAAAGTCTTTTTTTAGGGTCTGGAACTATAGTTCAATAGTAACAGGGCATGCTTAATATACTCAAGGACTTAGATTAAATCACCAGCACCAGGAAAAAAAAAAGTTTTTTTGAACCTTTTAAATTACCTTCCTTGCTCTTCCTAGTCATTCCAGGTTCTTACCTCGAGGACCCAGAGGAGTGCGAACACCAATCTGACCCATGTCTTGTGGGGCCCGAGGGACTGGGGTGCCCATTTTAGCAATCTCCTGCTGTCGTTCTTGCTCCAGTAACACGGCTGCCTACAGGAGGAAAGCAGGAGTGGAGACCCATTTGAAAATGACAAATATAATGTTTTAGCCAGGTAATAGGCCTGAGAAGAACAAGGAGGAAACACCAGGTTCTGACATCCCCTCTATCCTTGCACTTCAAGACTAATGATCAAAACAGAAGCACCCTCATATCAAAACAACCAATCCCTGAGAATAACACCAACGACATCCCCCGGAAATTTCTGGTTCCTAGAAGAGAATTTAGTGTTTAGCTAAATGCAGCCTTATATTTCTCAGTGAGAGTTTTCTTCTCCAAAAATTCTTTAGAAAGAACTATGAATTCTTTTTCTTCCTTTCTTCTTTAAGTACTAGGGACTGAATTCATGTGTGCTTTAGCACCAAGCTATATTCCCCAGCTCTTTTCACTTTTTGAGACAAGGTCTAAGTTAACTGAAGTTGGCCTTGAACTTCCCAAGGCTGGCCTCAAACTTGAAATCTTCTTGGCTTAGCTTCCTGAGTTGCTAGATCACAGACATGTATCACCATATCCAGCTGAATTCTTTCCTTAGAAAATTCTTACCCCTTAATGTTTGCCAAAGACTGGGCAAAGCCAGTACTTCATGTGTATTTCCATACCTGCAGCTTTAAATCCTTATTTTCCAATACTACTGAGTATCCTAATGGGTAACAACTGACAAGAACAAGGAGGAAACACCCAGGTTCTGACATCCCCTCTCTCCTTGCACTTCAAGCAGAATATTTTTTACATCATTCCCAAATTTATATGCATCACATTTAGTCTAAATCCCATACAAAGGACTAAATTAACCCAGAATCCTCTCCAAGGTACCTAAAATTATATCATATAAGACTGGTAGGAGTCAAGACCTTTTGTGTAATAGGCCACTGAATTTTTAAATATTTTAGGCTTTGGGGCTATTATATGAACTATGTTTTCTCTTCTTGGTTTGAGGTTCTTTTCTTACAACTCTTTTTTTTTTTTTAAATATTTATTTTTTAGTTTTCGGCAGATACAACATCTTTGTTTGTATGTGGTGCTGAGGATTGAACCCGGGCCGCACGCATGCCAGGCAAGCGCGCTACCGCTTGAGCCACATCCCCAGCCCTCTTACAACTCTTTAAAAATATAAAAATAATTTTTAGCTCAAAGGTCACTCAAAAGCAGGTTCCAGGTTTGTCAACACCTGGACTATAGGAAAAATGGAATTCTTTGGGAGATACTGGAACATAGTTGGGGATGAGGTAGCCTCCACAGAAAATTTGAGTGATGCACCTCATTTTGGACACTAAACACTAAATGACAGCCTATAGACTGGACCATGAGGTCAAAGATTAGGGGGAGGGGTATTACCCGCTTCTGCTGCTCCAAGAGCTCATGTTCCTTCAATGAATGATCTCCCTGCTTAAAAAAGAAAACAAGCTCATACCAGCACCAAAACTCCCCAGGCCAATCTGCCACAACTTTTTGTTTCCTATGGTCCTCTTCCAGTCCTGGACCTATGTTCTAATCTTTGTCCCAGATCGTCCCAAAAGCCTTGGCCCCAGGATCCAGCTTTCTGAGGCTCCACTCCCCCTTCAGGGACCTAATGAAGCCAATACACAGGCATCCACCTGCCCTACCTGCTTGGCACGCTCCTCTTGCTGCATCAGCAATGCTGCCTGCTGCTGTGCCAGCTTCAGCCTTTCTTCTTCTGATAGTGCCACAGGCTCACCCACACGGAGAGGAGGCGGGGGCCCCAAATTTGGTGGATGAGCCATAGGAAAGCCAAGGCCAAGGCCTGGTGGAGGTGGTGGGGGTGGTGGAGGGGGCTGCAGAGGAGGAAGTCCCATAGGCGGTGGTGGCATGGGAATCCCAGAGAGCTGTGGAGAAAATAAGACCATAAACTAGGAAGCACTTAACTATTCATGCTGCAAACATTTGTTGGGATCTACTGTAAGGTCAGGCACCAGTGATCAAAAGGAGGCAGATTAAAAACAGATGAACAATGCTTTATTGAGAATCACTCCTAGGGGGGGTGATCCTCCAGTCCAACAAAGCAGGTCTAGGAGAATCGCATCCAGGCTCAGCCCCATTGAAATTTTATTGGGCTTAGGGCAGGAAGAGAGGGCTTGGGACAAGAAAGGGAGGTTTTTAGACTCCCTTGACCTCCTGGGGATCTTGCTGAGAATCATGTCCTTGCAGAATTGGTCAGGAGACCCTGCTGATTGACAGGTGGTTATAAGGCACCATCACTGCTTGTCTGTCACCTGATTGGTTCTTTCGCCTGCACAGGTTGTCTAGTGCTTTGTTCCCTTAGCACCTCAAACCAACCTAACATCTACCATAAGCCAGGTGCTGGGATTCAAATTCTAGTAACATATTATTCCATAAAAGAATGCTCCATAGCAATATCATGAGAAGAGAACCAAAGAAAACTATCAACTCTTTTCTCAAAAAAATATCATGAATTCAGATTCTGCATTTAATTTCAGAAGGTTCAAGGATGCCTCTAAAAACCAACTAGGAACTTCTTACTCCACACATAGAGATCAATGGATCCCAGGTGAGAACCACTGCTTTGGAGGAGAAGCAAATCCTGGATGCGAAGAGATATGGACTTAAATAAATAGAAACCAGTGCATCGTGGCATCACAAACCCCAATGGTTTACTAAAGCAAAGAGTATATAATCAAATCAAGAAATCATCCCTCAAAGTTTCATTGAATAACATGGAAGTTATCCCTGGGGGAGCTAAAAAGGTGACTGCTTCTGTATGGGGTAGAATCAAATCAGGTTTATAAGCATTCAAGTTGAATTTTTTTAAATATTTTTTTTTTAGTTGTAGGTAAACACAACACCTTTATTTTATTTATTTTTATGTGGTACTGAGGATTGAACCCAGTGCCTTACATGGGCTAAGCAAACAGTCTACCACTGAGCCACAACCCTAGCCCCTCAAGTTGAATTCTGTTTTTGTTTTGGATACCGGGGATTGAATTCAGGGGCACTTGACCACTGAGCCACATCCCCAGCCCTATTTTGTATTTTACTTAGAGACAAGGTCTCAACTGAGTTGCTAAGCACCTCACTGTTGCTCAGGCTGGCTTTGAACTCATTCTTCTGCTTCAGCCTCCCCAGCCGCTGGGACTACAGCGCCCAGCTCTAGTTGAATTCTGAATGACGAATTTGAAGGAGCAGGTACTAGGGAAGGAGGCAAATATCAGCACCAAAAAGGGAAACAGAGCTCCCAATTTTGTCATCTCAGGACCTCCTTACCCAATCTGCTAGTTGCATCCCCACTATAATGCATGAGAGAAGGAGCTACTCTGAGACAAAAGGATCCCATTCAAGTGAAACAATATCCTTACCTGTGCTGACATGGGAGGGGGAGCAGCTTTGTCCCCATCCTCCCCTCGCAAAACCGGTCGATTCAGCACAATGCCAGTCTGCAAAACAGAAAGGAAGACTCTAAATCAACTCAAGAGGAGCTGTTAAACTAGATAACATTCTCTCCCTGTCAGTCAACAAAATTTACCCAACGCGTGTCCGCCAGATTTGGGGCAGGGAATTGGTAAGAACCAATGCAGACAGAAGCGATTACAACAAAGCAGGCAAAGGCAAGCTCTGCCAAAGGTCAAGCCCCTGCTCGCTGTGCCCAGGTACATAACGAATGAAGACCCAGAGCGGAGGGGTCTTGAAGGCCTCAACCTACCCTGAAGTCCCGCCTCTAACACTTACCTGCCGGGTGTAAGTCTGTAGCCGCTCCACCAGCTCCTCGCGACTCCCTGCAGGGCAAAGCACAGGATCAGTGGGGTAGGCCTGGCCCCCGCAGGCCCCCAGCTGCCCGCCTCAGCCCCACGTCCCGGGTCTCCCGGGTAACGGGCTAACCCGCTTCCCCGCAGGCCCACAAAGCCCCCTTCAGACCTCCCCACGCTTCTTACCCTGGATCGGAGCTCCGATCTCTGCCAACTTGGCCTGAAGCTCCTGGGCAGCCCAGGCACCATAGTGCCCTGGAGGTGGTGGCGGCGGCAGCTGTAATTCCCCTTTGGGGGGTTCGGGATGCTCGGCCGCCATCTTAGCCACAGGAAGGCGCGCGACCAACCCGGAAGTTCGGGCCAGCCTCGGGTCCTACTTCCCGGGACTTCCGGCAGCGACGTACGGCACGTCCCCTCTGTGGTTGGAAGACAGCTAGGGTTGAGGTCCACCCCCTGCCGTCCGCCGGGAGACGTGTTTCGCCACGCCCGGGCCATGGGCGGCCCCGTCCCGAAATTTTCTGGGAGTTGTGGTCCGCGGGTCGCTGCCTCCGGGTCCAGCGCCTGCAGAGCCAACCTAAGGTCCGGAACTCCCGCGTGGGGCGGCGGGGAGTGCTGGTCCTGGCCCAGGGCGTACTTTCGGCAGTTTTGCCGGCCCCAGCGTGGTCAGTCTTCCGGCCCCAGCGTGAGAGGCCTGGGCTCTTACTTCCCTGGGGCGTCCCGAGACACTTTCCCCTCCGGCGCCAGCGGCAGATTAGAGCCGATGCCTGTGATAAAACAGTGTCTAACTGTCTGGCGGCCCACCCCTGGCGCAGGCACGGATGAATGGGCTGAAAGGGGATCGGAGCCGGGAAAGAAGCGGGCCTGCGGGGGCTGAGCTCCCACGAAAAGCGACACTAAAACCCCTTTTTTTTTTTCCACCTTTCGAGCAGCCTCGAACGTCTTCTCTGCCAAGCCTTCTTCCCGCTGTACATTCCTTTTTTGGAGCTCCCATAATACATTTCAGTTTTTCACCATTCGTTGTGGAGATGTTTCGTTTGGTTGGTTTAGTTTGGCACTGGAGACTGACCCGAGGGTGCTTTGGGTACTAGGAATTGAACCGAGGGACGGCACTTTTACCACCGGGCTACATCTCCAGCTCTTTCTTTGAGATAAGGTCTCGCTAAATTGCTGAGGCAGGTCTCGAACTTTCAGTCCTCCTGTCTCAGATTACAAGTGTGTGTTAAATCTTTCTTGTGCTCTTTTCCCCTACCTCACCCCAAAAAAACATAATCGGGGACTTGATGTTTTTCTGTCTTGCAATATCTGGTATACGAAAGGCACTTAATAAATTATTACTGGGGTACATACATTTTTTTTCTCGAAGAAAAAACAATTATATATTTGTTTACTTGAAAATAACTCAGGACTTCAGCTGGTGACCCTGTGCCTTCCATAAGTGAACCTTGCCTGCCCAATTTCCACCTTTCCCTGTCCTGTCCTGTCAACATTTTTCTCCCAACCTCTGTCACCTAGCTTTGCCCTCTCAGTGACAGCAGGTTTGAGTTTGTGTGTGTGAATTAAGTAAAGGAGAGGAAAAAAGCAAAATTTTCCCTACATACACCCTTTAGATCTTTTCTCTACCTGAAAGCAGGCCCAGTCACTGACCTCCATGTTGCTCCTAATTCTTTTTTACTTTTTTTTTTTTCCTTCTGAGTTCTCCTGAGTTGTTCTGTCCTGCTTACCTTGGATTTCAGGAGCAACAGGTCTGATCAATAAACATCTTCATGACAAGGGACTAAAACTATTCACAAGCAACAGAGAGCTCTTAGACAGGTCACCCCATGGTGAGATCACTGTCCAACCAGGAGCAATTACCCAAAACAAAAGTGAGACTGCCCCCCTAAGCAAGAGCAGTCATGATGGAAACTTGTTCCCTTCATCCCTTATAGCTTTGCCGAACCAGTCCTGAGATAATGATCAACTAGACCAAGATTACCTGCTTTGCCAACTATGCAGATCCCCCAGCAGTGCAACCCCCCTATGCTTGCCTTTGTTCCCCTTTTTTAAAAAGCCTAAAAAATTCCTGTAGCCCCCGCTGACAGATATTAGGTCTCTGGGCCTTTTTCTGTCCTTCCTACTGCCGCCACACTGATTAAAGCTCCTTTCCTGCCTTTACCCCTGTTCATGTCTTTTGTTGGCATTTTGGGATGGGTGGCTAAATCTAGCTGTCTGGAGTCCTGGAGCCCTAAAATTCTGCTAACATAGCTCCATTTCATCATTTGCCCCCAAAAGAAAAGTAAGAGAAGAAAGGGAAAAAGAATATAGCAACAGATTCAGAGAAGGCAAGGTTTGAGAGACAGAAGAAAGGACTGGGCTAGGAAAAGTTGGTTCTTGTCTTATCCCTGAATGGGAAATTATCTTTACTCTTACCCAAACCTTCACTCTTCCCTCTTGCCTCACTATAACTACCCTAGGCTCCTGCTGCCACTCCCAGAGGAGAAGAAAAACCCAGAAAGGACAGCACAGAAGAACAGTGGTAGCCTTCCCTTCAGATTATCAGTTATTGAGGTGGAACATTCCTTGTCCAAAGCTCTTTCTGCTCCCTGTAACCGGAGCACACAACAAAGGTCATCTAAGGCTGAAGGCCCCAGGAGAAGGAATGTGCTTGGGGGGCAGGGAGATGGGGGTCTCTAAGGTAGGATATCTAAGAGCTGATGGATGAGAAGTTAAAGCAGCTAGAGCAGAAAGGGATACACCAAGTGGGGCCTCATTTTATTACAATAGTACTGGCATGAAGACAGGGAAGCAGTATCCCCCAAAATTGTGCAGAAGATTGAGGGACAGAAAGAAATTGATGTGTCCAAGGACCAAAAAGGGCAATGCACAGTTCTCCTGACTCCAAGAGTCCCCATTCTCTTCTTTTCCTCAACAAGAATTTTTACATGACACCTACCTATTGCTTGAGTGCACTGGAAGTGGATATCCAGACCCTTCTGATTCCAGCTTTGGGTGGCTGCTCCTGCTCCAGGATCCTTGCCCAGAACATAGGGGAAAAATGAGGTTTATGCCAGTCATAAAACCAAGATGGGGTCTGATATGGCCATGGGAGATGCTTCTGCCCAGGTTGCACAAGTAGGAGCTAAAAACAGGAGTCTCCAAGGAGCCTTCACATGTAGAGCAGCTCCAAGAACAGCTCCCCATTTTAGAACTGGAAGCAAAGGGGCTTGAGGAGCTGTTTCTTAATTCTGAGACATAATAGAAGAACCAGATTGAGCTAGGGCTCTTGTATTCCTGTTGTAAGGTGCCTGGGTGCAGATCCCAGTCTAAATAAAAACCGTGGTCAGGAGTGAAAGGGTGAGTAGACTGGATGCTTCAGCTGGTTGGAAAACAGGCTGGAAGAGAAAAGGAGAGGATATGGGGACCAGATAGGAATTGTTTTCTCTACTAGAGGTGGAAAGAGGAGGGAGAAGGAGGGAATGAGCTGGTGGGTGCTTATGAGTGTACCTACTCTCTAAGCCACACAGGAGGTGTGGGCCTGCTATAGTTCCCCAGCCCAAGGTTGACCAGTGGTTCCCAGGAATGCCAGAGTATACAGACACCTTCTTAGCCTCAGTTTACCCTTCTGGTGAGTGAGAAAAGGAAGCTGAACACGTTTGTATCCAGCTCTGCATGGTTGTCAGTGAAAGATGCCCGGATCCAAAGATGCCACCCGGAGAGTGTGTTCGCCGGCATCTGGCCAGCCAGGGGTCCCCCTCCCCTTCGCGCTCCTTCTTCTCTCCCCCTCCTCCGAGCCGCCCGGCCCCCGCCCCCGCCCCCGCCCCCCCTCCCCCCACCCAACCCCCCACAACCCCCACCCCGGTGGGAGAGGGATCACCAGAGGCCAGAGTATACAGACACCTTCTTAGCCTCAGTT